TTGGCCTATTCTGTGGGAAACCGGGCCCTAGAGACGGAGATGGCACATAACGCAGTACGCCCTATAGACAACTGCCCTGGAACCCTAAAGCTGCTACCGAGTGCACTAAGGTAGCCTATGGTTTTCGGAAGACTACCTACGACTTACACTTCAAGCAGTAAAGCCGCGCTAGACTTTTACAACCGCACATTCTTGTGAAATATTAAACAAGCTAGCATGCATATACGAAACTTTATCCACTGCCGACGGTACATAGTCGATAAAACTTCACCTCTACTAAGCGCGGAACGACCTGCACCAAGTCCTAAAGTGTTGTGATACTTGCTACGCAACCTACGGAATTGGAGAAAGCCAAGGTTAATAGTTTAGTGGTTACACAGACTTGTCTGCCTCTGTAAGGAAGGCGTCCGACTGCCAACCCTATGGCTAACAATTTTGCAAAGTTTTACACCAACACCTACGGCTGCATAGGCTACGCGGGCATGTCTACTTATAGAAAAGTAGCACGTCTGCCACTAGTCTATAAAATATAAAGGTTAGGTCATGTACAAAAGAAACGAAGATGGAAAAAAACAAAGGAAACAAGTTTATTAAATTTTCTAGCAAAATTGATAAACAACTAGCAAAAAATCGAAGGAGTTCAAGCAGAGTAAAAACAACAAGGAAAACAAAGAAAATCCTAAAGGCTACCTAGAAGACTACTTTTTAGCTGCTTGGACATCCCATGACTACTTGATCGCCACACCTTCAGCAGCTGTGACGCTTTCAGCAACGGCACCATGCAGAACTTCACCCCTAGCTGCCCAACCTGGGCACAACCTATTTGACTACTTCACCAATAGAAGACTCAAAAGTGAAGGTGAGCAAGTCTTCTAGAGAAATAGAGAAGGTTTAGAAGTCTTTACCAAAAAACTCAAAGTCAGACGGCCGCCCAAAGAGATGGTCTATATAACCCAGCTTATAGAAATCAGCTTGACTCTGAGTAAGCGAAGCCTCGAACCCAGCATTCTCACCCTTCAACTGCTCATTCTCCTCGAGCAGACAAGCACAGACTCGCTGCAGCTCATCCACTTCTTTCTTCATACTGTCGTTGATCTTCAAAGCACCTTGGAGTTCCAACACTTGAGGCTCAAGCCTATTAACAACCTTCTTGAAGTAGATCACTTGGTTGTAAGCAATGATCAGTTCTTCATCCTTTGCGTAAGCAGTGGAGTAGAATTCAGAGACAGCACCCTCAAGGTCTTGAATCTGAGGTATGTAACACCCGATATCATTCTTTGCACTTTCATACTTTACTTGGATCGCGTTAAGCCTAGTCTTCAAATCCACGATCTCTTGGCGAACAGTCTCAAGTTGCAGAGAAGTGGGGGCAAAGATATTAAACCTCTTCAAAGCAGCAAGCTCATATTCCAACTTCTTGACTTTCTCAGCCGAGGAATAAGCTTCGGCTGCCATAGTTCATGCCACATTCTTGGCAGCCTTGGTATCCTCTTGATCAAGGAACATAGACTCAGATGCTAGAATCGTCGTTTTCTGCATCATGGCCAGTAGAGCAGTTCTCCTATACTTGGTCAAATGTTTCGCGAAAGAACTTAGGCTAACAACCCCTTTGACGCCATCGATAAATTTGGCACATACATCCATGTCCTCAAGTAGATTTGGTCTCAAAAGTGCACAAATCTCAGCAGCTTCCCCAGAAACAGACTTAGTGGATTTCTCACAGCTACTCATACGAGCAGTTTCCTTTTTCTCAGTAGACGAGTTAGTAACAGCAAAGGGAACGGGTTTTGGCTTCACTTTAGTAGCAAGCCTCTCCAAAAGTGAACCAGACTTAGCCCTAGACGGCCGTTTTGGCACAAAGTTCTGCACGGAGGAACTTCTACACTGAGCAATCTTATCAGCAACCGAACTAGCCACCTTTGGACGGCAGACGTCACAGGCATGGATCTAGTAGCCTTGTCATTCTCACCCTTGGGAGAAGTCAAGTCAATCACAAGCTTGGGGGCAGCCGGCGAACCCTCGCAAGCTGCGGAAGAAGTCTTCGGCTTTTTCTCAACTAGCATATCTTGAGCAGGCGGGGAAGGTCTCTTTTTTCCACCTTCACTTATAGCAGGCCCCACGACGACGATTAGACGAACTAATGCCTCTACCTTAATCTGCTTTATCTTCTCTCTTGGTGGTAGTCCACATTTTTCCCTACGAAGAGGACTAAGCAGCCAACGCTACTCACAGTACTTGTAAGGGATACCATGAGCAACATGAACTTTCTTCATACCTGGAGAAGTCTTAGGAGTTGAGCCAATCTCCGAATCTACAAAAGCAGTGGAAGACAATAAAAAAAAAATTAGAGAGCAGTTTAGCGTAAATACAAAGCAACCAAGAGGTTAAGCAGCTTACCAGATATGAAAATCGTTGGAACACACAACGTGGGGGAAGAATCAGACTCCCACTCTCCACTTATCTCCAAAGTCTCATTGGCCCAGTCATGATCTCCCTTGCTCGAATGATCTAAGAGCCTATGACGAGATCGCAACTGCCCAACTTCCTCGATGTGGCCTATGTCAAAGAAGTACCAAAATTCGTTGACGGTTATATCTAAGTCAAAGAATTGGCTTAGATTGAGGAATCACACCATCACACAAACTGCATTCGAAGAGCATTGAGCGGGGGCACACTTCATAGAGCAAAGTACTTCCTGGAAAAGGTGAGGCATGGGAAAAGTAAATCCCAACACAAAGTAGTAGGGATGGAACTTGATAGCCCTCCGAGCCGCACCACATGGCTCACGGCTGCTACCATCCTTGACACGCTTCACATGCATTCCCGACAGAATAGCATGCATGTACGCCTCAAGGAAGTCTCTAAACAAGTCATCAAAGCTAATTTTGAAGTGACCAGCATTGAAGTAGCCAATCTTGCTCAAAGACTCACCTTGACGATACAGTGGCGGCACCCCATCATCATTCTTGTGTCTCGAGGAAGACATGCTCGAAGAAATTCTACAAAAATGCGAAGAAAATTCATTAGACGGCTGCCTAAAAAAAAACGAGCCCAATAGAGCTCTTGGCCTTTCTCCCTTATCCCATAGGCACAAGCCTAAGCCCAGCCACAAAAAAAAAAAAAAAAAAAAAAAGGTAAGGTAACTCTCAGCCCAACTAGGCGGGCCAAGCCTGACGGCCCTTTGCTTACCCTTTCTTCTATCATGCATGGCCCCATGCCCAGCATGCAAAAAAAATAAAAAGTGAAGGCCCAAACCGCAGCAGCCCAGCAGCTATGCAAGCCCCACGACCTGGGTTATCTTCTCTCACCGTCACCCGTGCAGGCCTCATAGCCCAATTTCACTGGAGGAAGGTTGGCGCTCCACTTCTCCTCGTGGGCCGAGACCCACTCATCTAGCCCAGCTTCCTGGCCCGCACTAGCCGTACCAACCTTCGGCCTAAGCCGAGCCGTCACCACACTGCATCTTACCACCCACAGCAACAATGATGTGGATTCTCCAAGCTTTTTTCACACATCCTCGACCCCCGTCGAGCCAAATTTCAAGCCCCGAGGCTCCCAAAAAATTAACAGGACAAGGAAAATTAAGATTTTCTTACCTTGAAGCGGCGTGAAGACGAAGCAAGCAACGAAAGACGATCATTTGCACGGGCAAGATGTAGAAGATTGCTAGAGGAGGGGAAACAAATATCCTCTAAGCTTTCTCTCTCTTGTAGAGAAAATAAATCGCTTTCCAAAGTTGATTTAATAATCCACTTAAGGTGGACTTAAAAAGTTTTGGGAGAAATTTATTTCCTTTTCCTAGAAGGATCTAATTTCCAATTAAAGAGGGAATCAACATCAAATAGGAAACAATCATATGTTTCCTAAAGCAAGAAGATCTCTATACTTGCTGCCCTTTTCCTGCAAGCAGCCTAACAGGTGTTGGGGCATTTGTGGAGCAAAAAACAATCAAGAAAAACATGGAGGTGACACGTGGATTTTTGGGCAAAAAAGATAAGATTACCCTTGAGGCACACCGGGATTTCTACGCGTAAGCAAGGGACAATCATCCCTCAATCAAGGTCAAAAGTGATCAAATGGTTATTTATTCAAAACCTATTTCATCAACCTTCATCAAATCTTCCCCACAAGGTAACTCCCAAAATATTTCTTTCAAATTATATTAATTAGCTAATTAATTGATTTATTACTCAATTAATTCATTAATTAGCTAATTGATGGTGATTAACACCAAAAAAAAAACCAAAGGTGGCCGGTTCCCACCTCTCCAAAGGGGGTCAGCCACACCCTTATAAATACCACCTCATTTTCTCTAAACCCCAATTTCAAGCTTCTTGCAAAATTCTCTCAATTTTCTAAACACTTTTTCCTCAAATTTCTAACTTTGGCATCAAAGGTTCTTCAGCCAAAGCCTCCCCCCCCAATTCATCGTGGGCGCGTGAGACTCTTGACCTTGACCCAAAGTGTTAATTGTTTTTGCAAGTGCATTTTCGTCCAAGAACAAGAAGGAATAAATTTGCATTAAATTTATATATTTTAAAAGTAATTACATGGTTTCTCATTCCTTGTTTTCTATTTATGTGTATTTTTGTTTTAATAGTAACCGTATTTCACCATTTTAAACATATGTACGAGTGTGTTTTTTATAATTAATTAAAAAATGTAGTACTATTTACATACCCATTTGTACCTTGTACACACTCTTCTTAATTTTTGACTTTCAGATCAAAAGAATTCAAGAAAATCAATGAAAAATAATTAACAAGAGTGGGTAGGAAGTAAAATAAATATGTAAATAGCCTTTTTAAAATAAAAAAATAATAATAGTATTTTAACATGCTTTGACTCATCTTCTTACTCAAGCCCAACCCGGTATTTAGGCCCAATCCAGTTTCTTTCTTTTTGTAGTTGGCTTCTTTCCCAAGGCGTACGACCTTCTCTAATCTATCTCTCTCTCTCCCCACTTTTGTATCTCTAAAACCCTAACCCCCCCCCCCCCCCCCCCCCCCTCTTTTCCTTCAATCACACCAAAACCTGCCATCATCAAATTCAATCTGTAAGTCTCTCTCTCTTTCTCTCACTCTCTAATTGATTTATGTACATCGATTAATTGCTTCTTTTTTCTTCCAATTTTTTCTGTTTAAGGTTTATCTAAATTTTTATTCAGATTGCACCTGATGCATGATGCCTGAATTTTTTTTTTCCGCAAAAAAATAAAAAAGAAAACTGCAAGAAAATTTTTGTCTCAGAATTCTCACACCGATGAGCAATGTGGAATTTGGGTCTGTAAATTGGATTTGTTAATTTACCCGAACCGATTTTTATTTCGTAAAGAATTAGGATTTTTCATCTAAGCATGGTATTAGTAGCATGCGCCCCCTAATGATAGGATTGTGTTTAGTATTTGTGTCCATTGTGCTGCTGCAGGTTTCTAGGGTCCTGACGGGTTAGCCCCTGTTGCCAAATTTCTTGGGTTTATTTGCTTCTTCGTCGGTGATGGTATGTATTCTAGATGATGCTTATCTTATGATTTATTAGTTTCTCCTTCAGCTTCCGGGCTATCACGCAAAGTTTTATCCACTAAATTTTTCACCCTGTTAATGGTACATGTATTTACGTTGTTGACTGTTCGTGGGAGAGTTGCTAGTTTTGTTGCGATTTTTGCCGCTGAACAATCTCTCCATTGAATATCCAGCTTGCCATAAACATCTAATAATGTATCTTATTAACATTCCAAAACTTCTAATTAAAGAATATCGGAAGGAACAATAGCCCGCCAGTCCACACGAATGAAGAAGAAAGGTTTATACCAGCATTTAGAGGAAACCGAATCCCACAATGATGCCCAGAGTGAATGTTATCCCATTAACACACTTCCTACCTGCTATAATCTCAATTATCTTTGTATTTTGTTCCATCTGCACCACCCAGAAGACAACTGAGGCTCTATAATTAGACAGGACTTTGATGTTCTTCCTTCACCAAAACTGCAATCTTTCTCATGTAGTTAAGTTGATCTTTGTGTGTGCAGGCTGCAAAAGTTCTTGCGAATGTGCTCGTAATGGGCTCGGCAATAGTGGGCAGGGCTGTGCTCCGTGCATACCAGCAGGCAATCTCAAGTATGCTCTCTTGCAATCCCAAATCTTAGCTAAAACCTTTCGGATATTTTCCCATTAACTCTAACAAGGCACTAGCAGGTTTCTTGCATCTCTGCAAATCACAAGTGTACGTTCTATCTGTATTTTATGATAAATTTCTTTGTGTTATCACTGAATGCAGATGCCTCAAAGAATGGTGTTGCTAACGAAGCAGTAAAGAATATTAGGAGAGCTAGCAAAATAATGGCTGAACCAGAGGCAAGGCAGGTTCTAGGTGTCACGGAGCGTGCATCATGGGAGGAGATCTTGCAGGTTTGCTCTATTTGTTTGTCTTTATTTATTTATTCTCTGTTGTTTTCCCTGCATGTAAATGTCATCGTAGAATTTTCTGAGAAGTGTTAATCATTTGAAAAAAATTTCTTTATGAAGAGGTATGACAGCTTGTTCGAGCGGAATGCCAAAAATGGAAGTTTTTATCTTCAGTCAAAGGTCCATAGAGCTAAAGAAGTCTTAGAAGGCGCTTATGCAAAGAAGGCTCAACGGACTCCTGATGCATAACTTGTAGGCTCACAGTGTTTTTCGCTCCCATTACATTATTCTCGGCATTCAATGTTAGGGCCGCTGCAGCATTCTTTTGATCTCCACACGGTATGAAAAATTGATGGTTACCTGCTTATTGCGGTCTTATTCTAAATCAAGTTACTGTATTCCTATTGTATATGCTATTAAACCTCTGAGGTTTCGCCACCTAAATATAACTCTTCAATGTTCTCCGGATCCTTTGGTTCGTGATTTTTATGTGCCCGATTGTTATAGCTCGAATATATCAAGTTTATCAATTCCGAACTCTCACAATTAGCGTATTGCGATATGAAAAACTCCACTGAAGCGATAACAAAATTTCCACCCAGTTTTTAGGATTTACTGGGAGAGAAAAGAAAATAAAGTTAGTATTCTGGCCCAAATCCGGTCCGGCCCAACACCAACTTGAAGTCGGACTAAATCGGCCCAACTTAATCCTATGTCCGATAGTTTTGGGGCTGGTCTATCGCGTTGGCAACTCTACCTTATTTCTTGTTAAATATGAAATTTATAACCGTTGTACATTGACGGATTCAGGATTGTAACATCGGATGGTTCTAATAAAGAGTTAAAAAAATAATAATTTAGACAAAATAATATTGAAAAATTAAACGAGAGGTTACAAATTTTCATTCATAATGTTTGTGCAAACAACATTACAACTACAAAGACTAAATTTGTTCACGGCAAAGTTTTCATAATAGAAAATTGGAATTTGGTAAAGTGAAGTCCAAGGTTTAAAGTCTTTTGGGCTTTAATTTTTTATTAAATGGTTTGAATTTAAAATGTGAGTTGGGTGTTGTCTCACATGGTTCTAGAAGATGCTGTTAAGTCTTTTGGACTTTTAATTAAGTGAAGTCTAAAGGCGGTGCTGCGTGCACGTGGATTTAATTTTTTATTTTTTTAATGACTTGACTAATGACGTAGTTTTGGCTAAGCCGTTGATGTCCTAATAGCCACTTTCCGCGCTTTTGGATGGTTCCGTGACTATCCAAGTAAAGAAATAATTTCGACATTTTTTTTCTTCATCTAAGCATGTTTGAATTCTTTTTATTTCTTGATTTTCATTTAATTTAAAAATTATAAGTAAATAAACAAATCGAGTAAAATAAACGAGATGTGCATAAATCAATTTCATCGTATCTCTTAGATGAAAAAGGAAAAGAAAAAAAAAATGGTATAAAATTAAATTCTTGTATGTAGGCTTGGGCAACCCCGGTCTGTTCGGTTTCTTTTCGGCTCACTTCGGCATGGTACAAGATCGGTCCGTTCAGTGTTTAGTTGGTTCAGTTTCGGTCTTAAATTTGGTAACGAACCGTATCGAATCAATTTTTTTAAATTTAAAAATAAAAAATTGGTATAAAATTGGAATCTAGTGTGTAGCACCTGCAGGACAGCGACCAATACTCGTTTTGTAGCAAGAGCCGAATGTGAAAGCCGAAAGATTTGAAAATTTGGTGGCGACTAAAAAAGTAAGAGCCGGCCATGAAAAGGAAGCAGACACAGAGGCGGTGGACCATAAAACTCGAACGGTTGATCCATATTTGGCAATTTGGTGTGGAGACTGGAGCGCTCAAGTCAACACCAACCGAGTTCTTTCCCTTTTCCGCCAAACTAATTTTTGCCACTCGTCTCACCACTCATACGTGGAGTGGAACACTTATTTTCCCTTTGCTCTTTTTTTTTTTTTGTTTTTAGCAGGGACTTTGACTACAGCTTACGTTTATATTTTTATCGGTAATGTTAGGGAAACTTAATTTGTAGAGGTAATGTTAGAAAGATTAAATTTGTAAATTAAATGACATGAAAGTTGATGATTGAATTATTGCTCAAGTATTGAGCAACGTGTTTATTTTTTATTTGTGACACATTATTTGTTTCCAAATTTAGTATGACAATTTAGTCTCTCTAGTATTACCCAATTTGTAGACCAAATTTTATAAATTAAATGACATGGAAGTTGATGGTTGAATTATTAGTTAAATGTTGATTAACGTACTTATTTCTTATTGTTGATATATTATTTAGTTTGGAAATTAAGTTTATAAATTTAGTCTACCTACCATTACTCTATTTTTAAACCCGAAAATATCAGTACTTCGTAGTTTTGATTAATGAATTAAAAATTTATTAAACCGTTATAAAGTTGATAAAATGTGAATCATTAGTCCTCAAAGTCAACTTTGCGAGAATTCTTGTAAAAATTAAACACGTGACATGTAGTGGCGGATTTAGAATTTTAACATCGGGTGGTATCTCACTATAAATCTCCAAAAAAATTAGACGAAAATAACATTGAACAATTAAATGATCAACTACCAACTTTTCATTCATAATCTTTGTAAAAACAACATTACAAGCTACAAACACTGAATTTGTCCACAACAAGGTTTCGTACTCTGAAATATGTCATGATAGTTTCATTGTCAATGTAAGAAAGAACATATCGATGATGATTTAGAACTATCCAAAATTGGAGTTGAACTATTTGGAATAGGATTGTCTAAACTAATCAATGATGATTTTTGCTTGTAATATTGTTTCATACTTCTAATTTCTACACATATCAAATAATCAAAACAACAAATTATATCAATTTATGAAGCTAAAAAATATATATGAACTAACCAACACATGATCAAAACAATATAAAAAAATCGTAACAAATTAACAATAACTATAATCTATATTATGAATTCAATTTTTTCCATCCAATGCACATTAATTGTAACATACTATATGATTAATCTACACTAAAATAGAAAACTTAAAGTCAGAAATTAGGTGATTAAGTGGTGGTGGAGACTGGAGAGAAGTGAATCAGGTGGTGGTCTTGGAGAGGAGACTTTGCTCCAAGTTTGAAGTCAAAAGTGCAAGGAATATTATAATAGAGATTATGAATTTTTGATGGGTGATGTTTTGTACATGGCATATGCCATTATTGTAAGAGGATGGAAAGCTCAATGATCGTCCGGGTCATAATTCTGAAAACATTTAGGTTTCGACCAAAAAAAAAAAAAAAGGAAGAAAGAAAGAAAGCTTAGGTAGTGGCGGTTCACCTAAACTAAATGGACCCTTGTGTTGAAGTTGAACGCTTACCTAAAAAGAAAATTGAGAAAAATATTCGTGTAACACTCGAGCTTCTAGTAATAGATCCATATACTTACATTACAATTATGGTTTAAAACTATACTTTTGACTTTGGATATGGCAGCATGGACTTTGGAATAGATGAAAACTAATAGGATAATATTAGAGAGATTTAATTTTTTAAATTAAATTTTAAAATCAAATGATATGTTTGTTGATGATTAAATTATTAATTAAGTATTGATTAGTGTATTTATTTTCTATTAGTAATACATCATTTGATTTAAAATTTTGATATTTCTAACATTATCCTAGTTAATATCATATAAAAACTGAACGTCTTTACAAGGATGATTAAATAGTTTAGGGGTAAGTGGAGTTTAATCCTTGGCATAGTTCAACTTTTCATAAAAACCTGGTACAAGATAAAAAATTTAAATTAGTCCCTTGATTGGATGTCCACCTCAGAATTAACATTAAAACTCATATTTCATTGGATTTAATGTCTTTATGTGTATTTTAGTTCCTAAAATACCCCCACAATTAATATTTGATTTGAGGGCTTCATTTCCTCCTATAAAATAAGAAATTCAGATACATACCAAATAAGAAAACGAAAGTATTGATTAGAATTCAAAAAGTTTCATATCACAACGAAACAAAACTCTAGAAATCAAATTTTAATGAATACATCATACCAAATAAGTAAATAATGTACCTAAATCATGGTACCTATATCACAGTACCTATAGCATGTCACCTATATCATGGTACCTAATACATGGTACCTGCAAATTAAAAAAACATTATTAGAATTTTAATGTACCTCAACCATGGTACCTATGTTGGATTAATGTACCTCATTTCTATAGTGCGCCAAAATATAGAGGAGCGAATGGCATGAGAACCATTTGAAACCATGTGCAGTACACATATGCATATCATATACAAATATTGAACTAATATATCAAGTATTCCACAAACAAACAACAAATCCTAACAAAAACCCATGAACACGATTTTAGTGAAAATGCTAAACTTCCTAGACAAAGAAACGAATCTGCACAACACCATAGAAGAGGACGATGAAAGATTCATACAATTGAACTTTTGTGTTTAAAATGGACAAAAATTGAAAATATATTAAGTAATAATTGCACACTCTTAACTCAGCATTTAAAATTTGTTATTGTCCATAATCACATATGGGCAATGTTGGAAAAATATAATCAATAAAACCACCAAAAAATAAAAGCTGACATGGATAATATATATTGACATGGATGTATAGTCAAAGGACTATAATCAATATTTAATCTTGTATAAGACATTTTTCTAATTATAATCTTAAGCAAGGATTAAAATCACATTTACCAAATAGTTTATCATCATAAGTTTAAGTAACATTATTATTTTTATTTGAATACACAAAACTGACAAACTTGTCAAGACTTGTCAACAAATGAATCAGTTTTATCTGTTTAAATACGGGAATTTTAACCAAAAGCTCTTGGTACTGTTCATTTTAACGAAAAACCATATTTTTACACTAAAAAGTCAATCATGTACTATTTAATTTATCATTTATTTTGTCCTTATCGTTAAAACACAAAGTTTTCAAACCATTTTCATTAGTTTTCCTTTTAAATAATCGTTTCTCTGAATTGACAAAACCAACCAGTAAAAAGTAACCAGCCCTGTCAGATATTGTGTATGAGTGCAAGGCTAACAAGTGGTACACCATGTATTTTAATAGAATTGGTGGGAAATTTTATTTTTTAAGTTATTAACTTTTTAGCACGCATATCTCACAATTTATATAATGACACATTGTGTACCACCTCATATATCAATTACACTGAAAAATCTCTCCTAACAAACGCGTGAGACCCTTGTAATTAGTAACCACACATTGGATATATCAAATCGATGCCAGAATAGCCACAATTTTCAGACCCCAGTTGTCGTGTTTAAACTCCAAGCTTTTGTCACTCACTGCCGAATTCGATGACAATCCTCTCATTGAGAGAGTACACACGTTTCGGGTTTGTACTTTCCTTTGGGCTCTATGTAATGTAAATATGTGCACAAAATTCATGCAAAATACATATTTACATGGTTAAGTT